GCGAGCGCATGAGCAGGGGAGGGGCGGGAGGGGGGGGGACAGAGGATCCGAAGGAGGCTGTGTGCTGACAGCAGAGAGCCCGATATGGGGCTTGAACCCATGAGTCGTGAGATCATGACCAGAGCCAAAGTCAGACGCTTAACTGACTGAACCGCCCAGGTGCCTCTCCAGTGGATTTTAAGGGAGTTGACAGGCAAAGGCCACAAGGCATTTATTTACAGTTGTGCACCCTGTCTCCATGGGACTGAACGGAAGGCTACTCGGGCAGTCGAGACTGCTGACCTGAGCACCTGGGGAGGCCTGACGATGCCCGCAGCCCCCAAGAGGCCCGGGTACTGGTCAGGCCGCAGGTTGTCCAGTGTGCTGTTGGGGTGGTCAGGTGGAACACCTGGGTCTCGGGGCTGTGCCAGGGCAGCTGTGGGCCTTGGGATCCTCCCTGCCAGGTACTGATCCCTCCTCAAGGCAGCTTCCTGGAGGCCAGCACATTCATGAGTGGCCGCAGCTGCCCCTGTCCCTGCCATCTGGCCTATACATGGGTTTCTTTTTCAATATACATGCACTACTATGAATGTATTTTCTCTTCCTTATGAATTTCTAGTAACCTACAAGCATGTGTTAACTGACTGTGTTATTGGTAAGGCTTCCACTCAACAATAAGCTTAAGTAGTTAAGTGTTTTTTATGTGGGGGAGCCAAAAGTTATATGGGGTTTTTTGACTGTGTAGGAGTCAGCGCTCCTAACCCCCACGTTGTTCAAGGGTCAAACAACTGTAGTTTATTTATGGCACGAATCCCCACTTAAATTGCTTTGTGCATCTTTCTGAGTATTATATGTAGCTTTTTTAAAGCTTATTTATTTCTGGAGACAGAGAGAGAGCACAAGTGAGGGAAGGGCAGAAGAGAGAGGAAGGGAGGGAGGGAGGGAAGGAGGGAGAGAGAGAGAGAGAGAGAGAGAGAGAGAGAACGAGAGAATCCTAAGCAGGTTCCACGCTGTCAGTGCAGAGCCTGATGCGGGGCCCAAACTCATGAGACATGAGATCATGACCTGAGTGGAAACCAAGAGTCAGACACTTAATGACTGAGCCAGCCAGGCACCCCTCTGGGTCTTATAATAGGGAAGTTGATACAAGGCAAATTGGGCATGTCTCATTTGCTGCCATGTCAAAGAGTTAGAAATTCAGGTTATTATTACTAGAGTTGAAAGGGAGAGACCTAAGCAGGTTCAGGGAGGAAATGAGGGTGGTCAAGTCCTTGAAGCAGCTGGAGAGACCCAAGGACATGGGTCTGGGAGGGAGGGTGGCCTTGGGTAAACGCTAGACCACTTCTTTAAGATGCTACAGAAGGGAGCAGCATGTAGACAAGACGGGGCTGTGCGGCTCCCCAGCAAAGTGTCTTTATATTCCCTGTGGAGTAAAATGTTTGCAAGGTCTTCTAGACCCTTCAATGAGGGGATGCAGGCATGTCAGAGTTTAGGCCAAACACAGGCGGTGAGAAGCAGCAGCTGGGCATTGAGGAGGCTGCCTCAATAAAATATAAATAAAGATGACACACAGGCTTATAGCAGGGTGCTACTCTCTCCAGAGAAGTGAGAAATTTTCTGAAGCCGGTCCCTGAGCATGGTCACCTCTCACAGTGTGGGAGAGATGAGCCCAAGGGACAATTACAAAGCAGAGAGGAATTTCCAATTTTTATCCAGTCATCTCTGGCTTTGGCCCCATACTCCATTACATTCAATCAGTAAATTCTGCTGGGTTTCTTTTAAAATGTTCTCCTTTTCCCAAGCTGGTTAGGTCTAAAGAACACCAGACTGAAGTGGGCCTTGACACTCACTGTTCACTTGACCCGCACCGGGGCCCGTAAGCTAACTGAATCTCAATCTTACCACTGCGATGGGAGCGGAGGCCAGACCGCACGCCTATGAGCAGCCAAGGCCTGGTGCAAGAGAAAAGCAGAGAGCAAGAGAATGTACGTTCCCTTCTGGGGTCGGCACTGATTCTGTTCAGGCGCCAGTGACAGTAGCACCAGGCCTGGTGGCCATCAATGGGGGAAACAGTAGTTTTCAGAGGGCTCTGGACTCTCTGGCTGTTTAGCCTTTGGGAAAGGGACAGAGGGAGGGAGGGAAAGAGAGGGAAAGATGGATCCTGGCTTTCCACTGCCAGGTACAGAAGGGGGCAGAAGAGACAGCCACACCCACACCCCCTCGCTATTTTCCACGATGACTCCATTACCTATAAACAGGCGCCATCAGAGTCTTGGTAATAAACCAACTAGATCCTTGGAGAGGCGCGCGAAGTCTTGCCTTATCTATCCTTGGATTCACAGTGAAGAGGTGGCCCCATGCGCCTCCTCAAGATCAGGGAACAGTACACTCACACTCATTATTGCCCTCGGCTCTCTAACAGGATGTGTGGCCGGTTCCTGAGGCAGCTGGTGGCTGAGGAGAGCCGGCACTCCACCTCCGTGGGACGCCTTCTGCTCCCTGTGCTCCTGGGGTTCCGCCTCGTGCTGCTGGCTGCCAGCGGGGCCGGGGTCTACAGCGACGAGCAGAGTGAATTCGTGTGTCACACCCAGCAGCCAGGCTGCAAGGCCGCCTGCTACGATGCCTTCCACCCCTTCTCCCCACTGCGCTTCTGGGTCTTCCAGGTCATCTTGGTGGCTGTGCCCAGCGCCCTCTACATGGGTCTCACTTTGTATCATGTCATCTGGCTTTGGGAAGAGTCAGGAAAGGGGAAGGAGGAGGAGACTCTGATCCGCCGAGGGGAGAAGAGCAGAGATGCCTCTGGTCCTGGAAGCCCCAGGCTGCTCTGGGCCTATGTGGCACAGCTGGGCGTGCGGCTGGTCCTTGAGGGGACAGCCTTGGGGGTACAGTACCATGTGTATGGGTTCAACGTGCCCAGCTCCTTTGCATGTCGCCGAGAGCCTTGCCTTGGTAGTATAACCTGTTACCTGTCCCGCCCGTTTGAGAAGACCATCTTCCTAAAGACCATGTTTGGGGTCAGTGGGCTCTGTCTCTTGTTCACGCTTTTGGAACTTGTGCTCCTGGGCCTGGGGCGATGGTGGAGGGCCCGGAAGCACAGATCTCCCCCTTCTAACTACTCCCCAACTTCAGAGAGCACCAGAAGACACAAGGAACCGACTGAAAACTTCCCAGTGGTGGAGACCAAAGAGCCATTCCGAGAAGCAGGTGAGAAGAGCACTGATGTCCCTCTTTCTTCCTGCTCCTGAGGTCTCTGTCCTGATGACCTCCCAAGGCAGGTCCCTGGACCTCTGGGAGGCACACTTCCTACGTGTTACAAAATAGAAAACCAGGTTCGAGGCAGACTTCTTCTGACCGCTGCTGCGGACCCATCTCCCAACCCTCATCCCCCTCTGTTTGCCGATTCCTTCCAATGAACCAGGACCAGGGTTCTCAGCCAGCTGTACCTCCTGCCCTTCCCTTTAGGTTTCTTCCCACTTAGAAAAAGTCTCAGCTCCTGCTTGATTCTCTACTTTGCAGAGTTATGAAGCCACCTGGTTCGCCTCTGAAGGGAACTCTGCGATTGGATCTTCTTCCGAACATCCAGTGAGTGGGGATTTACTTTTGTGACAAATGAGAGGCTGTTGAAGCATCTCTAAGGGCCATGGTGGGCCACGCTGCCTAAGTCTTCCTGGGAGATTTCCCCCTTGTGCCTTCCTGCCAGAATCCTCTGGCGTCAGCTTTACAATGATCATGGGCTTGGTTCCAGACTCAGCCAGCAGAAGCCTCTGTAAAGCTGTGCTTCTCCCCTGTCCTGTGCAATAAATTCTGACCACTGCTGTTGGCATTCCTGTGGCTGAATGCGACTTTCCTGTCATAGTGACTCTACTTCCCTGTCCTCTGTTCTTCCACTTTCTCTGCTCCCCCCAACTTTGAAGTCTTGTAACCTATGGATGCCCCCAGCCCCGCGGCATATGCCATATTCAGACTGGCCTTCCACGCATGTCTAAACCAACAACCTTTATTTTTTTAATGTTTTATTTATTTATTTATTTTGGGGTGGAGGGGCAGAGAGAGAGGGGTACAGGGAATCCGAAGTGGGCTCTGCGCTGACAGCAGATAGCCTGATGTGGGGCTTGAACTCATAAACCTGTGAGATCATGACTTGAGCTGAAGTCAGAAGCTTAACCCACTGAGCCACCCAGGCTCAATCCCCATCAAATTGCTACTTTTTAAACTCATTCCCCTCATTTCCACACAGAAAAGACAGGAGAGTTTTGCTGCTGACTCAGGAAGGGAGGTTTACATCATGGTAGCAGATAACATAAAGCTAAATATCAAACGTCTCTTTTCTGGAGTCTCTCTGTCAAGTCTGCCCAAGGGTATTCCAGCCTGTCACCTTCCTACAGAAACATCTTCCCCTCCCTCCTTCCTTGCCTTCAAATTCTCAACAAGAGCAGCTACCTAGTTTTGTTTTCTCCTTCTGAATCCCAAATTATCCGTAAGTAAAGTAGGAAGGCTCGTTGCTAAGGAAAGCTATTTGGTCCCCCAGGGGACATTTTGGCAGCAACTAGAAAATTAATAATTTTTCTTTCTGCTATACAAGTGTTTTATAAAGAATCCCTCATCTACTGTAACCAGAGTCCAGCCAAGTGACCAAGGATGGAAAAAAGCAAATGTCATCATTCATAATTCCTCTTTGATAACCCTTTTGAAACAGCTTTATTGAGAAATAGTTCACATGCCATATAATTCACCCATTTAAAGCATACAATTTAATGGCTTTTAGTACAGTCACAGAATTGCACATCTGTTAATACAATTTTAGGACATTTTCATCAACTCAGAAAGAAACCCTGTTATCCTTAGCTTTTACCCACAATCCTCCATGCTTCCCACCCCCCCCCCCGCCCCAACAAACATAAACAACCAAATATAATTTCTCTCTATATAGATTTTCCTATTGTGGACTGTTCATATAAATAGAATAAATCATACAATATATGGTCTTTGGGACTGGCTTCTTTCACTTAGCCCATGTTTGTTTGTTTTTTATAAACATATGCAAATTTATTTTAAAAATGTTTATTTATTTATTTTGGAGAGACAGAGAGTGTGAACAGGGGAGGGACAGAGAGAGAGGGAGACAGAAAGTCCGAAGCAGGCTCAGTGCTGTCAGCACAGAGCCTGATGTGTGGCTCGAACCTACAAACTGTGAGATCATGATCTGAGCTGAAGTCAACACTTAACTGACTGAGCCACAAGTGCCCCAGCACCATGTTTCTGAAGTTTACCCATGTTGCATAAATCAGTACTACATTCCCATTTATAGTTTAGTATTTCATTGTATGGCTCACCACACATTTTTTGTTCATTTTTAGTTGATGGACTTTTGAATTGTTTCCACTTGTTGGCTATTATGAATAATGGTGCTATGAACATTCATATACTAGTTTTTGTGTGAATATGTCTTCACCTCTCTTGGGTAAATACCTAAGAGTGGAATTGCTGGGGCATATGGTAACTCCTTTTAAGGAACTACCAAACTGTTTTCACAGCAGCTGTACTATTTACATTCCCAGCGGCAATGTATAAATGGGTTCCAATTTATCCACATCTTCGCCAACACCTGGTATTTTCTTTCTTTTTGTTTTCTTCTTTTCTTTCTTATTTGATTTTTAAAACTGTAGCCATCCTAGTGAGGTAAAGTGGTATCCCATTGTGGTTTGATTTGCATTTCCCAAACAATGTTGAGCATCTTTCATGTGCTTAGTGACTATTTGTATATTTTCTTTGGAGAAAGGTCTACTCATCCTTGGCCCATTTTTAAATTAGGTTGTTTGTATTTTTTTTGTTGAGTTCTTTATATATTCTGGCTCCTAGGTCCTTATCTGACATATGATTTCCAAATATTTTCAACATTCAGTGGGTTGTCTTCCACTTCACTGTTAGTCTCCTTTGATGCATAAGTTTTTAATTTGGATGAAATTTAATTTATCAATTTTTCTTTTGTTGCTTGTGATTTTGGTGTCATATTTAAGAAACCATTGCCTAATCCATGATCGTGAAGGTTTACACCAGCATTTCCTTCTAAGAGTTTTACAGTTTTAGCTTTACATTTAGGTCTGATTGATTCTGAATTAATTTTTATATATGGCATAAGGGTTAAACTTCATTCTTTTGCACATGGATATCTAGTTTTCCCAGCACCATTTATGGAAAAGTCCATTTTTCTTCCATATAATGGTTTTTGGCATCCCTGTTGAAAACCCATTGCTTGTCGACGTATGGCACTATTTCTGGACTTTCAATTCTATTTCACTGATCTTTATGTTTATCCCTATCCTGGTATCACATGTTTTGATTGCTGTAGCCTTGTAATAAGGTTTGAAATTGGGCAGTGTGAATCCTTCTTTTCAAGGTTGTTTGGCTCCTTGGGGTCGCTTGAAATTCCATATGAATAAAGTTGCAAGTTAGCGGGGCTCACTATTTTCAGTAAAGAAGGAAGTTTATCTCAGGCATATGGCAGGATAGAAGCCATAAGAACCTTAAGGTGTCATGGGACCTTATGTTTGTCATTCGGTACACAGGAAGACATATAGACACATACGCACTTATATCACACTCATGGCAAACATCAATAACTGATGAGAGCATTTCTTTCTTCTTGGTCCATACTAAGACTCAGATTCCTTCTCAATAAAGTATTCTAATTTTCATAGAAAATGCATTCATTAGTTGTGTAATTTAAACATTTATTTATTTATTATTTATATATTTTTAAACATTTAAAAAAGTAGATTTTCCGTTGGGCTTTTGTCAAAAATCCCAAAACGGATCACAGGAATCCCCTTTCCAAGTCATTTAATTGGACATTCGGTAACTACTGACTGAGCATATTATGGGAAAGGCAGTATCTGATATTGGGATGCAAGAAGAATTTAAAACTTGCATTCATAAGAAAAGGAATAGACAACAATAAAATAAAAAAATCCAATGAAGGGAAACAGACAATTCCCTGAAATAGGCAAGCATTTTGCTTGTTGAAAGCCTCAATGGATGTTTCTTGAGGTAGAAAAATGGTTGCTGTACTACAAGTTGGATACCAAAAGGGATGTATCCATGCTTCTGAATCTTAATCACTCCCACTTAAAAAACTTGATCTCTTTTCCACCCACTCTCTGGTCCCAGCAGATCCTTTATAATGTCCTCCTTATGACAGCTCCAGCTGCACTCCCCAGGCATTGTTTTGGCACCTGGTCTTGACCTCCTCAGGCTCCCGCAGCTGGGGCTGAAGCTACAGGATCTGCTCCTTTCTAGCATCTTAGATAACAGCCACTCAGCGGATCACCCCGAGATGGCTTAGCGCATCCCATACCCACAGACCTCCTAGGAGTTGAACCACCGAAGACACCGGTGGGAAGTCTCCGATGTGGGTAAGATCATCTAGCCCGAGATTCTTTACCCTGACTTAACTGTTAGAAGCCCCATCTGCGCTGGGTGAACGTGTCCCATGCTCAAAGAATGGGCTTCCTTTACCTGGTGTTTGTCTCGGGTGCTTGGGAAGAAAGAGAGGGAAATCAGGGTGGCAGGGCGACCAGCTATCACCCCACTAGCTCGTGGGCGGCTAAACGCTCCCTTTCCTGCTCCCCTCCTGGAATACTGGCTCTCCAATTCACCCAACACCAGGAGAGTAGGTGGGCTTCGCGGGGGCAGCAGGAAATCCTGCCTTTCCAAGAACTCGACTAGCTCTTGAGAGTGGAGGCCAAGAATGAAGGCTGAATGGAAAGAACGGACTTCAGGGAGAGCAAGCCTAAACTGGCCCGGCGCCTCATTCGCCCCCACTCCACGCCCAGCTGCACAGACCTCCCTCACCCCAGGCCCTGGCGCTGCAGCACTCCCAGAACGCCCGCCCGACTGCAGCTAGCCAAGGACGCCAGAACTTGACCTCACCTCTCCAACGTGAAGGACAGGCCAAACTCCTTAGCGCCGCCTCGCTTTGCTCCTCCAGCTTCGGCTCGCGAGGGCTCCTCCGGTCCTCTCTAGGCGTCCCGGAGCAAGTTCCGCATCTCTATTGTTGGCCCGAGGGGCAGCCCGCGTCCCGTCGTGCCCCGCGGCGCCCTCTAGTAGCCGAAACCCCGAGGCTGCCGGGCTCGCGCTCGGGCCCCGCGGCGCGCGCAGAGGGGCCGCCGGTTGGCCAGCGCGCGCCGGGACTTGTCCCGAGGCCCCGGAGGAGGGTCGGCACTTTCCCCTCCCCGCCGCCCGCAGTCCCTCGCCTCGCGTCGGACCCCGACCCCGGGGCGGAGAATCGGCATGGAAGCCGAAGACCTCCAGGAAGACCTGACCTGCTCCATCTGCCTGGACTATTTCGAGGACCCGGTGTCCATCGAGTGCGGCCATAACTTCTGCCGCGGCTGCCTGCACCGCAGCTGGGCGCCGGGCGGCGGCGCGTTCCCCTGTCCCGAGTGCCGGCAGCCGTCGGCGCCCGCGGCGCTGCGGCCCAACTGGGCCTTGGCCCGGCTGACGGAAAAGACGCGGCGCCGGCGTCAGGGCCCCGTGCCCCCCGGCCTGTGCGGCCGCCACTGGGAAGCGCTGCGGCTCTTCTGCGAGGACGACCAGCGGCCCGTGTGCTTGGTGTGCAGGGAGTCGCAGGAGCACCAGACGCACACCATGGCGCCCATCGACGAGGCCTTCGCCAGCTACCGGGTGAGCCGGCCGTAGCGGGGCTGCCGGTATTCCCGGAATACCATTGTCATGTCATGTCGTAGGCCATTGTCATGAGAGACCTACGAGGTGGCTGCAGTGCTCATTGGAAGTACGACCTCCCCCGCCCCCCACCACCTGTGCGAAGAAATTAAGCGACACACAGATCTCAGAGTTGGGGTTAAAACTGAGATGGGGAGGGTCTGCATAGAATTTTCAAAGTGTTGGCCTTTGGGAGCTCCTAGTTTAAGACAGTCATACCGAGGGGGTGTATACCAGTGCCGCCCAATAGAAACACGATGTAATAAAACTTTGCTAGTGGTTAAAAGAAACGGGTGATGCTAATTTTAATAATATGTTTTATTTAACCCAGTTTTCCAAAGTGTTATCATTTGACATCAATCGCTATGAAAAGTTATCAGTGAGACATTTTAGTTACGTTTTTCGTAATAGGACTTTGAAATCTGTGTTTACGTTTACAGCACATGTCAATTCGGACTATCCACAGTTTGGGTGCTCACCTGGCTAATGGATGCTGTATTGGTCAGTGCAGGTGTATATCTACAGGGTTTATAGACAACTGATGATTTGGGAAAAGCCTGGCTTGAAGTGCGAGGCCGGGATTTGATACAAGCTTCCTTCATCAGTTGGGAAAAATCACTTACTGTTTGAATTTGGAGATTAATCTGTCCTGCCTATTTTATGGATTAAGGCGCTTCAGTTGAATAAAGCAGTTTATCTTACTTTACTCCAGCCACACTGCCTTCTTTTGTTTCAAGTCTGTTCTCTTTCTCTACCCACACCTTCCATCCTTTACATCTTTTTAGCTTTTAGCTTGAAGACCTTCCTTCATCATCCTTTCCAGAGTAGCCCTACCCCCTTCTATACTGATGGTGTAACTCCAGTGGTCTCCAACAGAATTGGTATCTAGTAAGTACTGGTTGAAAACACAAGTTTAATGATACAAGTTAAAGTATTTTGTAAACTATAAAATGCCATACAGTTTTATCAACTGACTACAAACAGGAAATATGCAAAGTAGCACTATGAACTATACATCCACCCCTTCACTCAGTAACCTTTATTTATGCTTACTGTAGGCCAGGCATTGTTCTAGAATCTGGACATAAATGGATAAGAAGGACAGGAGCCTTGTCTTGTAGGGTACATAAGCATGTAGACCAATAAGTTCAGTATGTAAGTGAGTTATTCAAGTTTGTATCGAGTACATGGAAGGTCTGAGGAGAAATGGCTTCACGGAGTTGAACATGAACTCACTTTTGAAGGGTGAGTATGATAGGTAAAGGAGAGGATATTCAGGCCAAAGGAACAGCATATTCAGCATGGCTGCTTGGAATGGCATGTGATCAATGTGAGAGGACTGGAAGTTGCTTAATATTTTTGGAGGGCAGAGGGAGAGAGGAAGGTGGCAGTTAAGTTTGGAGAACTGCTTGGTGTTGCCCTCCTGCCACCTCCTGGCAGTTTCTGTTATTGGAGGGAAGGATTTTTCTAATCTCCCTGGAATTACTATTTTCATTCAGGGGCCCTTTTCAGATCTCAATTGTAGTAGGATTCAAAAAGACTTAGGTAGAATCTTGGAATACAACCAGCAATACAGGATAATTCACAAATACTGGAATTGTTAAGGGCTTTTAAAAATTGAAAAATACTATTTAAAATATTTTTTCATTATTATTTTTAAACATTTTAAAAAATGTTTATTTTTGAGAGAGAAAGACACAGTGTGCGAGTGGGGGAGGGGCAAAGAGAGGAAGACACAGAATCTGAAACAGGCTCCAGGCTCTAAGCTGTCAGCACAGAGGCTGACACGGAGCTTGAACTCATGAACCGTGAGATCATGACCTGAGTTGAAGTTGGATGCTTAACTGACTGAGCCACCAAGGCACCCCAATATTTTTTTAATGATTAAACAAAAGTGAAAACTTAAAAAAAAATCTTGATCACATTCAAAAGAACTACTTATCTGATTGCAGTCCTCCCATATACATCGAAGTTGACAGTGATTACAGAGTGGCAGTTGTATAATTGATAAAGGAATAAAATTACTTGAAATAGCTTTCCAAATAGCAGGATTATATACCTATTTAACAACTAGAGGAAATAAGTAGATTATATAATATTAGAAAGCATAGTGTAAGAAAGAAAATAACACAGGTGATTTTGTGACGTATAACAGAACTATAGGAAGTCCTTGGCAACCTAATTTTATCCACCCCCCGACATTTCACTATGCGATTTCCAAGCAAACATGAATGTTTGACGAAGTTTATAATACCAGTATACCCACATCTAGGTTCTGCCATTAGCATTTTACTCTGTTTATCACCTATCTATCCATCTGTCTGTTCTCTGCATCCATCAATTCTTGTTTCCTTTTGAGGCATTTAAAGTTAATTGCAGATAGTCCACTTCCTCCTATACTTTAGCAAGCTTACCGCCAACCAACCACATTTAGCATTAGTGGTGGTTTTTGAAGTCACATTTAATATAATTAAATATGCACATCTTTAGTGTACATTTGCTGAGCTTTGACAAATGCATACACCTGGGCACCCTAAGCCCTTCTTAAGATAAAGACGATAAAGATTACTGGGGCGCCTGGCTGCTCAGTCAGGGGAGCGTGTAACTCTTGATCTCAGGGTTGTAAATTCGAACTGCACATTGGGTGTGGTGCTTACTTAAATCTTAAGACAAAAAAAAAAAAAAAAAAAAAAAAAAAAAAGAACATTGTCATCACTGCAGAAAGCTCCTCCATCCTCTCTCCCAGTTAATCTGCTCCCTCTTCCCAACCCAGCTACTGTTCTAATCTTTTTGCACTGACGATTATTTTTGCCTGTTGTGGAACTTCATGTGAATGGAATCCCTTTGCAACCTAGCTTCATCTGCCCCCTCCAACATTTCACTATGCAATTTCCAAGCAAACATGAAAGTGGGAAGAATAGTCTGTACTCCTTTATATGGGCTCCTTTTGCGCAGCGTATCGATTTTGAGATTCACCCATTTTGTGCATATCAGTAGCCTGTTTCTTTTTCCTGCTGAGTCGTATTCCATTTTATGAACATACCGCAGTTGGCTTATCCATCTTTCCATCACTGCATACCTGGGCTGTTTCCAGTTTTTGGCTTTTATGAATAAAGCTGGTATCAGTATTCTCATAGAGGTATTTTTATAGATGCACACTTTCATGTTTCCCGTATCTAGAAGTTGTACTGCTGGGCCTGGGATTGATGTATGCTTAGTTTGACGCCGGACCTTTCCCCAGAGTGGTGGTTCTGTTTCGCACAGCCACCAGCACGATGTGGCCGTGGGGGAGCTCTGGCAGCTCCACACCTTCACCAGTTTTGGTGGTGTCACTCTTTCCAATGACTTCATTTTGCTGTAGACATTGTCGTTTGTAAGTGTGGGAAGAAAAGTGACACCGACTGGTTTTCATTATTCTCCTAGGGAAGAAAAAAATAACTTGCCCTGCTTATTTCTTAGTTCTGTTCATTTTTTTTTTCCTTTTAGCTTTTTATTTTGACACATATTCACACTTCCAGAAAGCTCCCCTAGGCCACTCTTCAGCATTTGACGGTATTCACTGGTTTTTATTTAAATTTTCTCTTCCTTTGGTGTATGAGAAACCATCCTCTCTGGGTTTTTCACCAACCACCACTCAGCTTAGCTTCTTGGCAGGGTTTTTGTCCTCTGCACACCCCTTAAGTGTGGTTGTTCCTTGTTCCAGCCTGTGTTGTCTTCTTGATAGACTCTTACTGGGGGATTTTACTCACACCCTGGCTGCACCTGCTGCCTGTGCTCTAACCCTCCCCCCTCAATCTACTTCTGCAGCTCAGATCTCTTGACCCTTAACTGTTAACTGTACTCATCAGGGACACCTCCCCTCCAAACTCAATTTAGTAAAGTCGAATTTAATTCCCCCCCTTCCATTTACATACTGCTCATTTCCCTGTATTTCCTTATTTGGTAAATAGACCACAGTCCTTCTAGTTGTCAAGCCAGAACCCAGGGGCAAAGTCTGGATTCCTTTCTCTCACAGCCATTTGGTCATCTGTTCTTGCTGGTTTTCCTCGTGTGTGTGTGTGTGTGTGTGTGTGTGTGTGTGTGTGTGTGTGCGCGCGCGCGCGCGCGTGTGTCTAACCTGTGTGCTTCTGTCTGAGGTCATGTCTGACCTTATGCTACCAGGTGCTGCTCCTCCACAGCCATTTTTGTTAATGCTGATTGGCTCCTTTTACTTTTTAATAGCTCATTCAGGTTGTTAAATTCTAAAATCAAGACCGAAATTCATAAAAGTTTTAGTCCCCACCCTCCCAAACTTCTAAGCCATTTCTATTCCCCAGAAATAACCAGTGTTAATCTTTAGGTGTATGTTCTTCCAGATTTTTCTTCTATTTAAATACACACATCCATGCATAGATACATGTGTATTTGTTCTTTTCAAAACAGAATTATACAATACTATTGTTTTACAGTGTAGTTTTTTTACTTAATAAAACACATCAATATATAGAGAGAGCTACCTGAGATTGGCACAGAGTATCAATATACCATAATTTATTTAATAATTCCCTATGAATGGATAATGAATACTGCTACAGTGAACATTCCTATACATATTATTTTTGCTAGTGTCTTGTTGCACAGATTATTGGAAGTAGGATTATGCACATTTCAGATGGTTTTAAATCCTGTCAGTTGCCCTTCAAAAGGATGGCACCTTTTTACAAAAGTCTCCTACTATTATAGTGTCAGAGGCCTCCCTCACCAGTACAAGGTATTTATTAAGCCTCTAACAGTTTTCATTTTTTGCCAACTTAATAGGCAGGCTCTATAGAGTATTGCAAAGATTTCAGATCAGAATACTTTTTATGCCTAATTCTGTAACTGTCTTCAACGTTTTCTCAATCTCATTGCCTGTTCAGCTCTTGAACAAGCAAGATGTTTGCGGAGATGCTTTCTGATATGTGTTTCTGCTGGCAGGAGAAACTTCTTGAGACTCAGTGTAGTCTGACGGCCAAGATGAAGAAAGCCATGCATTTGCAGGACATGGAAGTGAAAAATGCTACTGAGTGGAAGGTAATAGCAGAATCGGTTGAGCCTTTCTTGCCCCTGAGACCCTTCGGTATTGTTGGGAGGAGCTTGCATGATGTTAAGAGTGGTCAGGCCCCTTGCAGATAAGGTGATAGATCAGGAAGTGTGTGTCTCTACTGACCTGTGGCTTTGGGCGATGGGAGTACCACATACTTCATCCCCATCTCTCTAAGGTGGTACCCCTCTCCTTCCCACTTTTTCCTAAATATACTCCTAGGTTATGGGTGGTCTGAGTCCATGGCATCGTGGAAAGTAAATGGACTTTGCTTTCAGAGATACTGGTCTAGTTGGGAGGCGTGATGCGCACGCACAGAAGCACATCTAAAGCTTAATGAGACCAAACAGTAGGTATTCTGGAGGCTAAACTAAGTAATAGATGTGAAAGTGTGTTTTAGTTTAAAAAGTACACAAACAAGGCATTGCTGTCAGTAGTAGAGCCTCAAGTGTCACAAAGAATGAACTAATACTATACAGGCCAGTACAAAGATACCAAGTGAGTATAAATAAATTAGCGGGAATTTGTGGAGGGTGGGCAGGGGCTTTCTGGAGGAGGTGATTGGGATGGAGGGGACATGGACTGTTGGGGAGTCACGTGCATGGAATTTAGGAGCAAGGGCAGGACAAGGACTGAGCAAGTGTCATGTGGCCGTAGGAGAAGATGAAGAACCAGCGAATGAGATTCGGTGCAGAGTTTGCAAAGCTGCACCACTTCCTGGCCGAAGAAGAGCAACTGTTTCTTCAGAGACTGAGCAAAGAAGAAGAAGAGACGAAGAAGAAACAGAATGAGAACACGTTAAAGCTCCATCAGACGATCACTTCCTTGAAGCAGCTCATCTTAGAGGTCGGGAGGAAGAGCCAGAGCCCCACCCTGGAGTTGCTGCAGGTGAGACAGTCACACACTGAATTCCCTCTTGTCTTTCCTGGTGAGTGGGTTTAATAGAGGAAATGTGTTCTCTCTGTTGATAATTGTGTTACTACTGTCACTATACAATTAAAGAGTCAAAGATTCACCATTCAGAGGAAATTAACGCAACATTTAGGTATGCTGAGCTCAGGTGCTGTGGAGATACCCAGGTTCACTTGGTTTGCCTCGGGTCTGAAGCACATCTAAGACTTTTCCATTCATGTTACTTATACATTTATGACTCTTTGTTAGAAGGGTAAAATAAAGCAAACCTACAATCACCAAGGAGATAACTGTATCAGTAGTTTTTAAGATAAATTTGTCTTCCTTACTAATTTTTAATCATTATAATTGTAGCTTGATAATAACTTTGCTCTTAGCCTCAGATTTTGATAGGTATATTCATTTAAATAATTTCTAATGTCTAGCAACTGTTAAAAAGTTATAATTCTAATTTGGTAGCACTTAGGGGCGCCTAGCTGGCTCAGTCAGTAGAAAATGTGACTCTTGATCTCAGGGCTGTGAGTTCAAGCCCCATTTGGGCATGAAGCCTCCTTAAAAAAAAAACAAGTAATTCATTAGCACTTAGATTTGGGACTTTAAGGCAGTTTATTATATAATCTTTACCTTTATATCCTCAGCAAGTAAAGTATCCTTATAGGTTCTTTCAGTTTTTGGATAGGATCCCATATTTGTAAACATCTTAGATCCCTCAGAATCTCTCTTCCACATCATGTGACTGAGGAGGAAAGAATTGTTGAAGAGCGCTTCAGTCTGTGATTACTCTTTTTTCCTCACCAGGATACAACATTCTGCTATACTTTTAAGGAAGAGAGACACATGGACCCACTCACCAGTTATTTTCAGCAAGAAATTGCTAGGGGAAGGGTATTATAGCTTATGTTAATGTAATGATTTCCAAGAATTGTCTACAACTTTTACAGCTTGCTTAAGCCACGATGTTCCAGTTACATATCCAAATGTATATTCAGCAGAATCTTTGAAATAACACATTGGAACAATTTTTTAAATAGAGGTTTAATATCTACTCAGAATCTGAAACCTCAAAGATATGCATGAACCAGCAGAATACTTACAAAATATATATCAGCCAATATAAGTGCAACGGTAGGGAAATGATTAAAGAAGACAGAACTGGATTATAGAATCTCAGCCTAAGAGAACTTATTTTACTAATCTATTCACTTATCCATCTATTTTTCCTTTATTTCATCATTTTTAGCCTATAACTCACTTCTTTTCTTCTTAGAACTGTATAGACACCTTAAAAAAAAGAACTATGGAAATATTGAAAAAAAATTCTGTTGTACCTAATTTTTATCTTTTCATTTGCATGTGTTCTTATACAATGTACAGTATTGCTTTGGTTTATGTATTTTTAATTTATGCAATGATTTAATCTTGCTGCATTCCATCTCTTGCTTCTTTCCTTAGGCACTATGTTTTTGTTTTCTTTTAATTTTTTTAACATTTATTCATTTTTGAGAGACAGAGTGTGAGGGGGAGGGGCAGAGATAGAGAGAGAGAGAGAACGAGACAGAATCTGAAGCAGGTTCCAGGCTCTGAGCTGTCAGCACAGAGCCCGATGTGGGGCTGAAACCCACGAAATGTGAGACCATGAGCTGAGCCGAAGTCGGACGCTTAACCAACTGAGCCACCCAGGCGCCCCTTAGGTACTATGTTTTAAGATCCATTCCTGTTGCTATCTATACAGTACGTTGAACCCACGTGTCTACCTACCACATTTTGTCAGTTCCTTCTTCCAAAGTTGGAAACCCAGGTTGCCCCAACACCATTACCACTACAAATAATGCAGTGAAATCATTAATATCTGCTTTTATTGTTTTTGTTATTATTTTTTTTTATTAGTTCTTGGGTTTGCTCTATAGTTCTTTCTCAGCCTCTGGAGCTGGCATGCCTAGCTCATCTACATTGACCCTTTTGTTTGCTGGTAAATTTATTTATTTATTTATTTATATTTTTTATAGTTTATTTTAATCTATTTTGAGAGAGAGAGAGAGAGAGAGTGTGTGTGTGTGTGTGAGCAGGGGAGGGGCAGAGAGACAGAGAGAGAGGGAGAAAGAGAATCCCAAGCAGGCTCCGTGCTGTCAGTACAGAGCCCGATGCAGGGCTTGATCTCCTCATGAGCTGTGAGTTGAAATCAAGAGTTGAACACTTAACCGGTTGAGCCACCCAGGTGCCCCTGCTGGTAAATGTTTTTAAACTATACTTTCACCTTTAAGTATCGTTTGTGTCCATGGATTTGGGCAACATCATTTTTACTGTCATAACAAAATAAACATGTTTAAAAACATTTTAGTATAACATCCATAGAGAAAAATGCATAAATCATAAACCTGACAGATTATCACCAAGTGACCCACCCACGGAACCACCAGCCAAGTCACGTAATAGAACATGAATAGCTTGCCAGGTGCCCTCTGCGTGCCCCAGTCAACACCCCTTCCCTTCTCCCTGAGGGTGTTCTCCCTCCAGACTTCTCACACTGTTCTGTCTGTTTCTGAGTACAACTCTTTCAGTATTTGCTGCTTTTGCTCCACATTGTGTTGTGAAGTTCACCCAGGCTGTCGTAGGTGGGAGCAGACATTTGTTTCCATCACTGTGTACAACTTCTCAACCAGGAGGGAGTTTGCTCCCCCAGGGGGCAGTGCTGGAGACATTTTTGGTTGTCACAACGTGAGGGTGGCTACTACCGGCGTCTGGCGTGTAGAGGCCACGGATGCTGCTATACATCCTATAATGCACAGAAGACACCTCCCCCCCAGCTCCCAGCAAAAACTTTTCCAGCCCCAAATGTTAATAGTGCCAGGTTGAAGGCCCTGTTCTGTAGTATTCCATGGTACTAATATAGCAAAAATACCATTCACTCTACTGTTAGCAAAATTTGGGTTGTTTCTAGTTTTTATTGTTACAAAAAAGCAGTTATGAACATGTCTTTTTTGGTGTACGTGTGTCCACATTTCTGTCAGTTATGTACCTGTGAAAGCAATTCCGAGTCACAGGGCATCTGTTGGTTCCAAACGGATGATTCCAAACTGTTTTCCAAAGTGATTGTATCAGTTTACACTGTTACTTGCAGTGTGAGAGAGATCAGTGGCTCTGTGTGATCATCAGTGCTTAGAATTGTCAGCTCTTTACTTTTAGCTGAATGGTATAGAAATGTTAGCTCAGGCCCTCAGTCAGCACCCCTTTCCTCCTTCCAAAGGGTAGATGAATTTTGCAAATGACTAATGTGGTTGAGCACTTTTTCATGTGGTAATGAACCATTTTGATACACTTGTTTTTTTTTTAAAGCTTTCTTGAGGTGTAATGTACATATCTTATAATTCACCCATACATATACCCCTACACTTAAAAGTGTACTTTTTATCATTAAATAAGTGATTTTTATAATTTTCCCTAGTTGTGGAAACCTTACCAAAGTCCAGTTTTAGAGCATTTCCATCACCCCAGTAAGATCACTTTGTGCTTATTTATAGTTAATCTCTGTTCCTGCTTCCAGCCCCTAGACAGCTTACTTTCTGACTCTATAGATTTCCCTTTTTGAAATATACCATATAAACAGAGTCGTATAATAATGTGGTCTTTTGTGTATGGAATCTTTCATTTATAATGTCTTTGAGGTTCATTCGTGTTATAGCATATATTAGTATTGTATTTATATTCCTTTTTTTTCTTTTATCCCTGAATAGTATTTCATCGTAGACTATACCACGTTTTGTTTCTCTTTTCAGTTGATGGACATTTGTGTTGTTTCCACCTTTTGGCTATTAGGAATGATGCTGCCGTGAACATTTGCCTGACATTCTTTGTGTGGACATACATTTTCATTTCTCTTGGGTAGATAGTAGGAGCAGAATTGTTGGGCTGTGTCATATATTTATATTTAATTCTTTAGAAATTGCCAAACTGTTTTCCAAAGTGGCTGAACCATTTTATGTTCCTACCACATCCTCAAGCAACACTTGTTAATGTCTGTGTCTGAAAGAGAATAGATGGAGAAGTAGGCAAAAAGCCAGGAGAGAGTTAGTGTCATGGTGGCAAAGGAGAAAGAATAGGGTTTCAGGGATTGGTTAACATTGTCAGATGGTGCAGAGAGGTCACATGAAGAAAAAGACTCCATGTATCAGTCCATTGGCTTTGGCAGCATGAGAGCATACATGACATTGACAAAAGCGGTTGACAGAAAAATACCTGCTCCCGAAGTTAAGTACCAGATCTCAGGAGGAAGGGGCATAACTTACTTATGTTTTTCTTCTCTTCACAGAATCCAAAAGATGTGTTGACCAGGTATGAGCGGCTGCTTTCTTATGGGGCCTGAGTGGAATGGTGAAGATACATGCTGAGGAGAGGGGAAACAGGCCTGGGCTCCATAGAACAGTCTGGGCACACCCTGGGAGTCCATGGAGGAGGGATTTTACTGTTGACTTTTGCAAGGGGGAATGGGAGAGTGGTGGTGTGAGCTTTGGGCTTGGAACCTTCCGCAGGAGTTGGGGGTCTTGGCTGCCTGAGTTGTCCCCTTTAAGAAGAGCAACCCTCTGTACTTTTCTTAGGAGTGAGAACCAGGATGTGAACTATTCCCCTGAAGTTCTAACAGTGAAGACTGTGTGCAAGATACCCATGATGAAGGAAATGCTGAAGCGATTCCAAGGTGAGCAAGGTTGGAGCTCCCTAGAAATCTTTAAAATAAGAGAATAAGCAATGAGAAAAGCCTGGAAAGGAAAGAGGAAACAGAGCATACAGCTAGCATGAAAAGTAGTAAAAACTACTTAGGAATACATGGATATGTGCTTCATTCAAGAAGCATTTACTTAACATATACTGTGGGTTATAAGGTGCCAGTGATACAGAAAGAAAAAGGCCTAAGAATTTAAGCAAACTGGAGAGGCAGACCCATATCACTTACTGTCACATAGTGGGATCTACTGTTTATGGTGGTATGAATAAAATATTATGGAAGTACAGAGAAAGAGCTCTGTTGGGGGTGAAGTGGGGGGTTTTCACACACAGGTGACATTGATCTGGGGTTTGAGGCATGAGTAGGAGTTTGCCAAGTAGAAAATGGAGGCATATTCATGTAACCAGAGGGAGCAGTGTGAGCCAAGGTGTGGAGGAAATGGAGGGGAGAGTATCCAATGTGACTAAACCATAAGGTGCATTGTGGGAAAAGGCAGGAGCTGAGGTTGAGAAGATGAGCATAGGAAAGTCTGAAGATAAACTTACTGGATCTCCAGGGAAACACCAAGGCACATAGGTGTTGTCAGAACTACATAGTTGGTTCTCACATGCACATCTCCATGTGGTAGGTGTCTACTTCCAGCTAAAATGAAGTAATGGGGACTGGATTTACTCCTCAGCCTAAAACTTAGCTAACTAAGAAAACTAAAAGAAAACAGATACAGTACATGAAGAGAACAGTTTTCCCAACCCTGGATATCAGGCAGTGCAGGCCAAGGACCCCTGAAAAATGTGAAACAAATGAGGTGAGCTCTATGATGGCTCCAGCCTCTAGCCTTGAAAGAGCTTTCAGGCTACTGCAGGGAGGGGTAGTGGAGGTGGAGCCAGGCTGAGGAATGGGGCTGAGTCCAGGGAGAACAAAGCAGTGAGAACTTGCAGAGTACTGGGCAGAGTATTGGTGAGGAGAGGGCCGTCTATAGAGAAAACCCTGATGATCTATGGAGGTGCCCCCTGAGTATTCAGCATAGTAATGCTTAGCATATGCTTGTGAAAAACTACCTTAGGCTGAGGAAGGCCGTTTCCAAAATGATTAGAAGGAACAGTTCCTGGTGCTCCCACAGGGCCTAGACAATGCCTGTGCCTACCAGCCAGACTGGAAAACTCCTAATTCCTGGGAAAATCTTGCCTCATTAGTAGAGAGTAATTAACCCTACACTGAGTACTGCTTTGGGCCCACCTTAAAAGTCATGAGCTTAAGACCCAAAAGGATCACATTATTTCCAAGTAACTTTATCCTGAGACAAACCATGAGAATTTTAAAAATGAGTACCTAACAATCTAAGTTCACAATGCCTGGTATCCAATCAAAGATTACCGGGTATGCAAAAAGTTAGGAAGGCATGACCCATAATAAGAATAATCGATTGAGACTGACCAGGATTGATCCAGATATTAAAATAAGCTCCGAAGGACTTTATAATACAGTTATTATAACTATCCTGTAAAGAGGCATTTGGAGACGTGGAAGATCTAAAAAATCCCAGATCAAACCTCTGGAGATAAAACCACAGTGACTGAGGCAAAGAATACACTGGTTGAGATTAATACGTGATTAGATATTACAGAGAAATAGGTGAGTGAACTTGAAGATGAAGCAGTGGAAACTACAAAATGAAATGCTCGGGAAAAAGACCTTACAAAATGAAAAAAGCATTGGTGAGCTGGGGGACAATATCATGCAGCCTTACATGTGGTAATTGGGGTCCCTGAATAGATGAACAGGATGGGGATGAGATAGGAAAAAATATCCGAAGAAATAATGGCCAAAAATTTTCCAAATTTGATGAAGACCCTAAGTCCACAGATCGCATAAGCTCATCAAGCCCTAAAGAATAAGAAATAGGATGGAAACTACACCAAAACCAGTGTTAAGAGAAAATTTCCAAAGCAAGAAGAGAAAAAGGACGTTACTTACAATGGAAAAATAAAGATGACATCATATTTCCCTGAATTCGCCAAACATTTAAGAAAGAAATCTCCAGGGGCACCTGGGAGGCTCAGTCCGTTAAGTGTCCAGCTTCTGCTTAGGTCATAATCTCACGGTTTGTGAGTTCGGGCCCCGTGTCGGGCTCTGTGCTGACAGCTCAGAGCGTGGAGTCTGCTTCAGATTGTGTGTCTCCCTGTCTCTCTCTCTCTCTCAAAAATAATTCTACTAGCAACATGGATGGAACTGGAGAGTGTGATGCTAAGTGAAATAAGCCATACAGAGAAAGACAGATACCATATGGTTTGACTCTTATGTGGATCCTGAGAAACTTAAGAGAAACCCATGGGGGAGGGGAACAAAAAAAAAAAAAAAAGAGGTTAGAGTGGGAGAGAGCCAAAGCATAAGAGACTGTTGAGAACTGAGAACAAACTAAGGGTTGATGGGGGGTGGGAGGGAGGAGAGGGTGGGTGATGGGTACTGAGGAAGGCACCTTTTGGGATGAGCACTGGGTGTTGTATGGAAACCAATTTGACAATAAATTTCATATATAAATAAAAAAAAAAAAATAATTCTACGAAGCCTGCATTATCATGATACCAAAATCAGACAAAGACATTATGAGAGAAAAGGTCTATAGATCAACGTCCCTTATGAACACAGACAGAAGAATTCTAAAGAAAATTTTAGCAAATCGAACCTAACGACATATTGAAAGATAATGCATCACAACCAAATGGGTTTTATTCTAGAAAAGCAGGGTTGGTTTAACATTTGAAAAATCAGTGTAATTCACCACATTAGAAAACTGAAAAAGGGAAAACTATATGATCACCTCAGTAGATGTAGAAAAAACATTTGTCAAAACCTAACATCCATTTCTGATTAAAAAAATCCTCTTGAGAAACTAGAGAGACATGGAGAGTCTGGGAGGGAAGAGAATTGGGAGGCAGGGAGGCCAGGGAGGAAGTTAGAGACACCGTTAAAGTGGGAGGTGCTGAAAGTCTGAGTGAAGACAGTGGCAGTGAAGACACAGAGGAGGAAAGGAACCTGGGTGGTATTTCCAAAGGTGGATTTGATAGGACTTGGTGACTAATAAGCCATCAAAGGTCAGAGGGAGAGAGGAGTCAGATAACCTCAAGATTTCAAAGTGTGAGTTGTCTGGGTGAAGGTAGTGCTGTTACACCACAGAGAACACAGAAGACAAGATGTCTGCATGTGAAGGGGTATTCGTCTCAAGAGGATGGAAAGGCACAGAATAGTGAGTTCCATTTTGAGTGATCTGTTAGGGGCCTGTGGAGCTTCCCAGTGAACAGCTGGAACCAGGAAAGAGTAAACTTGCTAACGATGACTTTTCTGTGTCCCAGGGCAAAGAACCAGCCTGTTAGCCATCTTGGTCTGGTCCTGATTCAACAAGTCAGAATTGTTAGTGTTTTCCCAACTTTATGCTGATTGTGAAGACTTGGGGCCATGAAATAATGAGCCCCCTGTTTTTAGGTCTTAATCTTTTAGAGCAGAAGGGAAACGAAGATTTCACTTTGCTAAGGCCACACCCAGCTGAGGATCAGTTGAGAGGCAGCGGGGTATCTCATCCCTAACAGTTCTTGTTAGGAGAAGGATGGGGTGAAGCTGGAAAAGGGGCATTTCTGGAGGTTTGGTGGTAAGTTGTCGCATTATAAATCTCTGCTCTCATTTTCTCTGCAGTGGCTGTAAATCTAGCTGAAGACACAGCCCATCCCAAACTTGTCTTCTCCCAGGAAGGGAGATATGTAAAAAATGGAGCATCAGCCAGTTCTTGGCCATTGTTTTCCTCAGCGTGGGGCTATGTTAGTGGATGGAGGACCCCTCCGAAGACCACACAGTCTGTGGAAAGATTTCAGCACTTACCCTGTGTTTTGGGAAAAAACGTTTTCACTTCAGGGAAACATTACTGGGAAGTTGAGAGCCGAGATAGCCTGGAGATTGCCGTGGGGGTATGTCGGGAGGACATCATGGGGATTGTTGATAGTTCAAAAATGTCCCCTCATGTGGGAATCTGGGCTATTTGTTGGAGTTCTGCTGGCTACCGACCGCTAATAAGCTTTTCTGTAAGTCCTACCAAGCAAGAGCCTGCTCTTCACCGGGTGGGAGTTTTCCTAGATCACGAGGCTGGGGACATCTCCTTCTATAGCGCTGTGGATGGAGCTCATCTACACACTTTCTCTTGTCCTCACATCTGCCTCCGGCCATTTTTTTGGTTGAGTCCGTTAGCATCTTTAGTCATCCCAGCAGTGACTGGTGGGAAATGAGTCTTCCCCTGCCCAGGAATCTTTGCCTGTACCCTAGCCTGGGGACATGGATCCCTTGGCCCTCTTCTTTCACTCTGTACATACTGGTCCAGGTAGCGCATCAGTACTGTCCATTCAGATTCTGATTTGATGTCTTGTTCAGCTCCCTGTGTGTGCTGTGCACAGAAAGTATGGTGGAGCCTGTTGGTGGCCTTTCCAGCACCCACTTGCCCCATGTCCCTCCTCCTCTTCTGGTTCTTCCTCATTGAGCTGTTTGGTGTGCACCCTCCCTGTGCTTCAGGAGAGGCAGCTCTCCCCAATACGAGGCAATTCTGGCCAATGAGCTGGGATGAGAAATGTTCCAAGATGCTTCTGGGGAAAGATCATGTAGCTTTAAAAAAGAGGTGTTTAAGAGACACAGCCCCTCTTCTGACGTTAGTAGCTGTCTTGGAACTGAGGAGAGCACAGTGACAGTGGAAAGGAAGAGGGAACGTGGGCTTTGCTAGCACTGTTGAACTGTTGGAATTTCCTTAATCCCTAATTTCTTGTCAGAGGAGGTTACTGTTCCCTCACTGTACAAGGCAATTCAGGTTGCATTTTTGTATAGGATGGACTCTTTTCCTGAAACTTGACAGATTTGTAGACTGTTTCTGCTCAGTCACATAATTCCTCTACTCTCCAGTAAGTACTGATACCTCCCGATCAGAAAGTTGAGGGAATCTTCCCTTACTCTGCCCAGGCTATGACTCTTTTTCACCCGACCATGCCTACGCCCTCAAGTGTTGATTATGTTTCCATCTGTCAAATTCTTACTGTTGTGTATGCAAGGTATTCACGTCACATCTAAAACATTGGGAGGCACTTGCCAAGTATTCACACTGCACTTCTGGCCTCTTCATTAATGCTCTTGTACGACTCCTGCAGAAGCTTGGTGTGAGATGGAAATTAAAATCCTCTTTTTACAAGTAAGAAAACAGACCTTTGGGGTAACTCACTCGGTATTGTTTGGCTGGCAAATGGGAATGCTGGGATTAAATCCAGATCAGTCTGAGGTAAAAGCCTGTGCCCTTTTCTGGTCTTTGTAAGCTTCTGGTTTTTGTAATGCTCTTTGTGAGCATTTATTGAATGCAGATTGCATGTCAGCAACATCTTCGTGTTGGGTTTTTATTTTGTTACACATTTTTATCCATTTATATGTGTTTTCCCTCATTTTATCTTTGTTTTCTAGAGTATAAGCTCTCAGGATTGTGATAGGAACTGGGTAGTTACTTTAAAAATAATGATTGTTTCTCTCTGTAAAAGTTGTCCACTTATGGTAGAAAATTCGGAACATACAAAAAGTATAAAAAGCTGAAAGTTATTGGTAATTTCACCACTTCTAACATTTTAATGTGTTTCCTCCCAGATTTCTGTAGACTTTCTGGCAGTGATTTAATAGCACCCTCCCTAACCCCTCCTCCCCTCCTATGTCTCTGCCCATCCTGGCTTGTCTTTCTCTTCAGCCTGAGCAATCCCCTCATTCAGTGATTTCTGCTGAATTCTCCTTAACTTTCTAAAGTACTTGCTGTTAGGAGTTGCATTGGGTCCTCTAAAAAGATAGGTTGAAGTCCTACCTGTGAATATGACCTTATTTGGAAATTAAGATGTGGTCATTAGGGTGGGCCCTAACCCAATGTAACTGGCACCCTAATAATAATAGTAATAATAATCTGTGGTGCACACGGAGGTGCCGTGTGAAGACACAGGGAAAATGACTGTGGGAGAGATTGGTGTCATGCTGCCACAAGCCAGCTGAGGGCTGCTAGAACCTGGAAAAGGCAAGGAAGAACCCTTCCCTAGAAGCTTCCGGAGGAACATGCTCCTGCCAACACCTTGATTTGGGACCTCTAGCCTCCAGAACTGTGAGATGATTAACTTTTGTTATTTTAAGCCGCTGGTTTGTGGCTTGTCACAGAGCCCTAGGAAGCAAATACACTTGCCCATCAGGACTTCCCCCAGTGTCTGCCTTGCTTGTTTCCAGTCCTTGGGAAACTCATTACTACCTTTCCTCCATCCTCCTCCTGGGCTGTTGAGCCAGGTTGACTGGTTCTGCTACAAAGTCTTGCTCTCTGACTTCAAGTGGGCTATTTGAACTCCTTGGTGAACAAACTTTATTTTTTCATCCCTTGACTTCCTTTTACATTTTTGGTGGCAGTGATTCCAGACCATTTCCTCCTCTTTCAAGGCTTCATGAGCCCTGTCATACTACCGTAGGGGAGGCAAACTTTACCTCTACCTGTCTTAAGTTTTTGGCTGGGCCTCTGACAAGAAATCAGATTAACAAGAGAAAAACAGTTTACTAACACACGCAGCACACACCATGCAGGAGAAACCTAAAGTGAAGAGCAACTCAAAGTGGAGGCTTAGAATTCTGGTTTACGTAGTACCTTTAATAAAGAACAATACATTTGTGGAGGACAGGAGGAACGTCTTAGCCTTCCAGGTGCGGCAGTCTGTGGGAAGGTAAATGCATATGAGGAAACTAATGGAGGAAATGTTTGCAGATTCCTCTTTGGTGTTGTCTCCAGCAAAAGGAGAATGTATATCTTGTCTGCAGGCAGAAAAAGGGGAGCTTTTTCTGGGTTTGCTGCTCTTAATTGCCTTCAGCTCAAAATAATTTTTATGCTAAAGAGGCATATCTTGGGCTGACACATTCTGGTTTCCTTCACTATTATTAAAGAACTTGCATCTTTTACAGAGAAAAATATTCTTCTCTTACTCCACCTAATATATATATATACACACACACACACACACACACACACACACACACATATATACATATATACATACACACACATATACATATATATATACACACACGTGTATATAATACACACATATATATATATATATATATATTTTTTTTTTTTTTGCCTCTTTTGTGAGTCTTGATATTGGCTCCCCTCAGGTATGAGCTGGGACACAGGTATCATATTTACTAAAAAATGAAGTAAACTCATGATGCTTCTGATATACAAACAGGACTGTAATAGTTTTCAGTGTTACTTAGGGATTTTTCTGAGTCTTTACTATGTTAACATGTTATAACATATTGGAAGAGGTATTTATTACACAGGATTTCTCAAGCTTATTTCACCACAGAAACTAACTGAGGGACTAATTCAGAGACTTTCCAGAAGATGGTTTGGCAATAACTATCCAACACTTTCTCCAGATGGTCTTGACTCTCTCAGATTTCAACCTAGACTTTCACTGCCTCGCCCTCAAAGTTGGTGGGTATATGCATTGGTGCTCTAAGCACCAATGTCTACACTGTGTGACAGTGGATAAGGCTCTGCTAAGATCTTTTCCCCTGGAGACTGGGCTTTTGTTATGTAGAGCATTCTAGGCACATTTTTCAGTGATTTCTGTTCCTCCCCCCTCCTGACTCTGGTAGGAGGAGATCTTTCTCAACTTTTCATTCTGAGAATTTGGTGGAGTTCCTGGAGTTAAACCCATGAATATATGCTCTCCAGCCCCCTGCCCAACCCTGCAGCTCCAAGAAGTTTCTCATCCTTAAGCTAGCCCACACTCAACCTCACACTCAATCTTCATCGAAACCATTATTTATTCCTATAAGTTTATAGCTCTGTTGGATTTTGCTTCAGGTAAGGAGATCTTAGCTTTGCCTCTGTGGATTTGCTTGTCTATCCAGATTTTGGGGTGGCAGTTTGCCATGCAACCTAAATTCTCTGATGAGTGCAGGAAAAGCCATTACTTTTCAGTTTTCTCATCTTTTTCTTGTAAGGATGTGAGTTAGGACTTCCCAATTCTTTACATGTAGGAGCTGAAACTGCAAGTCTGTCATAATATATCATAATATTAAAATAGGCTTCTTGTGAGACCTCCGTATGGTTAATTGTGTCAACTCGACTAAAGGGTGCCTAGGTAGCTGGTAAAACATTATTTCTGGGTGTGTCTGTGAAGGTATTTCCAGGAGAGATTAACATTTGAACTGATACATTGAGTAAAAAAAGATCATTTTCACCAAAGTAGGTAGACATTGTCCAATCAATGGAGAGCTGAATAGAACAGAAAGGCAAGTTTCTCCTCTGCATGAGCTGGGACGTCCATCTGCTCCGGGGACATTGGCGCTCCTGATTCTTGGGCCTTTAGATGTGGACTGGCACTTATACCATTGATCCCCGATTCTTGAGCCTCTGGACCCCAACTGGAACTTACACCATTAGTTATCCTAGTTTTCAGGTCTTTGGACTTGGATTGAATTACAGCACCAGCTTCCCTGAGTTTCCAGCTTGCAGACAGTAGATTGTGGGACTTCTTGTCCTCCATGGTGACGTGAGCCAATGGCCAGTGATCCATCCATCTTATTGGTTCTGTTTTTCTGGAGGACCCCTTGCTTTTTTTTTTTTTTGTTTGTTTTAAATCATCTAGTCTTTCCATTCTTAACTGTTATTCTTAAACTATTCACCTTTAAAGTTATTGTTTCTTTCCAACATGGCCCAGCAGAATAGCTCCCACAGAGAAGGGTGGTGAGAGGAAGGGCTATTCTTCTATCATCAAGGTAGTGACAAGAGAATACACCGTCAATATGCACAAGTATCCATGGAGTGGATTTCAAGAAGTGTGCCCTTTGGGCACTCAAAGAAATTTGGAAATTTGCCATGAAGGAGATGTGAACTTCAGATGTGCACATTGATACCAATGTGGGCCAAAGGAATAAGGAAGGTTTCATACCATGTCCATGTGTGGTTGTCCAAAAAACAGCAAGGATGAAGATTCATCAAACAGGCTTCACACATTGGTTACATATGTACCCATCATCACTTTAAAAAATCTACAGGTAATAGATGTGGATGAGAACTAGCCACTGATTGTCAAATAAACGTATAAAACTGCAACAGAAAAAGTTATTGTTTGATATAGTTGGATGAAAATATATTATTTTGCTAGTTCTTTTATTAGTTTAATTTTTTCTAAGTTTTTTCCTTTTTCTGCTTTCTCTAGTTTTATTGTAT